ACCACACAGGGCAAACCTATGGGCCTACAAAGCTTGAATCCACTACACTTTGTGTGTACTTTTAAGAGAATCCCCAGCACTTAACATACAGCAGATTCAAGCCTGTAACAAACTACCTAATTAAATACATTCCAGTCTTAGTTGTATTGTAATACATCAATAATGAGATTTAGTCTGATTTTTATATTTAGCTTAACTCAGCAAAAAACAAAACCATATTCATTTCATTCAATTGAAATGGTCCAGAAGACAGTTTTTAGTGTTTTTGGAGACGAATTATCTTATTAGAAGCCTATTACTCACTAGTCGTATGACTGAACAATTCAGAAGTCAACTTCTGTGTCTAGTTACCTCAGTCATAAAATGGAGCATCTCACATGGCTGTTTTGAGTCCTACTACACAAAAGAGCCTATGCTAGGTCTTAGTTACCACAGAAATATGAAGAATAGTATCAAGCTGCAGTGGTTAGCAGAACAATCTAGAATTAGAAGGCCTGAGTCTAGTCCAAACTCTGCTACATTAGCAACACCTGGATGAAATTTTCATTTATTTTTTAAACTTAACAGTGACTTAATTCTGCATAGTGAAGATGTCAACTGTACCTACTTTTCCACATTTGTTATAAGAAAATTACTTACAAACTATTGATTAAAAGTTAGGAAACACTGCAAATACTTTAAAATAAAAAAAAAAACTTTGGCTTGGTTTTTGTTGTTAGATCTTTAATATAAATTTCTCAAAGTTCCCCAAATACATGCAGTCGTTTTGCTTTGGAGCAGTAAAATTTCTTAAAAGCTCCCAAAACAGATTTGGAATTCAGCTTTTAAAATGCCTGTTTAATATCAGAACCATAGAATTTGGTCCAAATAACAAAAACACCAAGAGAATAAGTGTAAGGCTATTCTAAGAAGTAATCAAAAATATTAAGAAAAGCTTTTTAATCTTCTATAAAGAAAATCATTTAACTTGCCCCAATTTATCACTAAAGCTTACAGTGGTGTAATACAAATTTTAACACACTGAGAACTACAAGCATGTTAATACTTGTTGGGGGGAATCAGGAAGTTAAACAAAAGCTAACTGGCCCCTCGTTTTTAGAAAAACGATGCCTTAAAAAAGGAAAAAAAAAAAGGCACCCTCTTTCTGAACTTTCAAAAATTATGCCTTCATCTGAATGCCATTTTAAAAGAAGCCTCATGATTCTGACAATATATGGGGGGGGGGGGGGGAAGAAGAGGTTGGAAATGTTCTACAGGCTGAATCAGTCATATGGCATGTAAATAGTTCTCTAATGTAGGAAGTTTACAACACATAATTCTACAAACTTAAAAATACGTGCTTTCTCACAATTGTCATTCCAGTACCCAGAAAAAGCCTGGTATCGTTTAGGCACATGGATAAGGTCAACTTGCTTAGCTTGATTCTAAGAATATTTTTACTACAAATGTTCACACTCAACCATTACTACCTCTTTAGAGCTTTTAAGTCATTAAAATGGTGCCAGAGCAGCTGGGTATCACCTGTAAAAGAAAAAATCTGAAAGACCATCCTTTAAAGTGTTTTACATTTATATAAAGCTATGGATCTGAATTATTAGTACTGAAATGTTATGGTCTCCATATTAAGTATGTTGCAAAGTGCAACACTGCATCTCAATAGAGATTCATATTCAAGTTGTCAAGTGATTATTCTAAAGTTATCTCGAATTCTAAGGGGTTTCTCTTCTTTTGCATACTAGCAAGAATACAAACAGTTCAGTTAGGGTTTTGCATAAAACTACAATGATTACACAGTGACTTCCTAAGATTTCAGCATCAGTATATTCAGGTAAAGATTTTAACTTTCATCAAACTCCAGCCTAGCAAGTTATACGGATTAAATAACTATAAATAAAGTAGCATAAGAGAGATCTACTGTTATCAATACAGACCCTGGCCTTTCCTTCCAGACTCTTTTTAAGGACTACAAGAGCCCAACCTTCCTATTTTTGTCTTTTCTATTAAAACCAAGTTTATTCCACATTTTTTTCAAGTTAGCTAGCTGTAAATACTCCACCCTCTCGATTGTGCAACAACCAAATACACCACACACACACACACACACACACACACACACACACACACACACAGACACAAATTATAGTAAGAGAAATTCAGTCTCAGAGTTTGAATTTAGGTTGTCTCGGAGGCAGAGGAACTTAGAACTCTCTACAACTATATAAAAACGGTTAACAGAGAACATTATTTCCTATTATTAGAAAAAGGGATGATGTCGGAAAGATCCCGAATCAGTTAAAGCAGCCGCCATCTTAAAATGCAGGATAGAAGTTAGAGCAAAAAAAAAAAAAAGACTAAACCACCAGAGGAGGTGGTTATGCTTACAGCAGATCTCTGAAAAATCCTAGCTTCTGCCCAACCGACAGCGTTATCACCAAATTATAGTGAAACGCTGAAGCAAGGCTCCTTAAGGGTGGGTTCTCTAAGCAAAAGCAGCCTGTCCATCCAGCGTTCCTGCACTGTCAACCCCCCCCCCCCAAATCTTTCTAAAAGCATGCACATCAGTTCCCGGTGCCTCGGATAAATAGCTTCGGGTGAAAGCTGGGACCACACAACACAGGAAGTGGCGACAGTGTCAGTCCGCCTCCCAACCCCACTTGGTCTTGTGTAACCGCCCAGATTGGGTTAAGCTTCTGGGCAGACTTCGTCACTACCTTTTTAGCAAATCGAGGTTTGTTTATAATACCGTGACCCTCAGTAAAGTTCGCAACAAAACGATTTCTTTTTCATCAGTTTCCTTTTCTTCCCAGAAGGCCTACAGGCATAGGACAGCTAGAATAAGTTTTGAAGAACCAAGACTAGGAAGCAGTAGTACGATATCTGCCCGAGGGCTTCTACACAATTCCACTTCCCAAACCGGACTAACTCTTGGTGAGGCAGAAAACCGGGGTGCCTAAACGCCACGCTCTCCCCCATAATTTACAGCTTCTTGTGGAACAAGTTCAGCCTAACATTTTCGCGTAACCTAAAGCTCACTCCACGCACCACACCCGCATTCTGTTAACGCAGAAGAGGTATTTTCCAGAATCGCACCCCACTTCCTAGGACCCCGTCCGGATGACTTAGTCCCGACAACTTACCTTATTAATCCGTTTCAGCGCCATAGTCTGTGCTTTCCTCCGGGCTCCTCACTATCCCGATGTGTACTCAGAGGCCCGGCCAAAAACTCCTGATGATCCGGGCGGCAAGGAAGGATCGCCTCTTCTTCTCACGCCGGCTCTGCCAGACACAGGCGCCTTTTGCAAAAACGGAGCAGGTCAGCCACTCGCCAAAGGCCTCGGAGAAACCCCGCTGACCGACTCCAGGGGTCCCCGCGGAACCGTGGCGACGCGGGCGGGGCGGAGTAGCCAAAAGCCACCACCAACTACTTGTGCCCGCGGCGGGCCGGCCCAGGGAGGGCGAGGGTGACGGGAAGAGAGGCGAGAGGAGGTTCCAAGCTGAACTTCCCGAGCCCCGGCTGGGAGAGGAAGAGGCGGAGGAGAAAGGGGTGGGTGCGGGGCCGGGGCCGGAGCCGGGCAGAGGAGGAGCCAGCCGGGGCCTAGCCGAGGCGGCGCTGGGCCGGCGTCACCGGGGCAGAGAAGGGCGAGGGGGAGGGGGCGGCGGGCCGACGCCGGGCTCCTTTCGGTTTCTGCTCCAAAGGTCGGCGGCCGGCGGCGGCTCGGGCTGCTCGGCGTCGCCCCTGACACCACCTGGCTCCCCGCCTCGCGGCGCGCTCCTCCGTGCGCGCGCCCAGCCTCCTCCTCCTCCTCCACGCGCCCGGCGGCCGCCGCGGAGCTGCTGCTCCGGCGCGAGGACGCGCCCATGCCCCGTCCCCCCCACCCCGCCGCCGCCCGCCCGGGCCCCGGCCTCGCCGGCCTCCCCACCCCACCCCACCCCACCCAGCCCCGGGGGCTGCCCCACTCGGGCCGCCCACAGCCCCGGCCGCGGCGCCGCGCCGCTCCGCCCGGCCCCGGCCGCTCGCCCTCCCCTCCGCCGAGCCGTCCGCACCCACGCGTACTGAGGGGCCGGGGCCTCCCTCGAGCTGCGGCCTCGGCCTCCTCCCCGCGCGGCAGCTGGTGCCTCCCCGGCCCTACGGGGCTCACGCGCACGGCACAGCCACAAGATGTCGGCTCTGACGGAACTACTGCCGGCTGCCACGCTCCGCCCCGCCCCGCCCCTCCCCTCCCCCCGCCCGGCCGCCGCCGCCGCCGCCGCCGCCGCCGTGCCGATTCACCGCCGCGTATCCGTCCGCCAACGCCGGCGGCGCGAGCGCGGGCCGAGCCGAGGGTTGGAGGGAGCGGTTTGCCCTCCCTTCGCCCGGGCCCGAGGGGACGCGCCACCCGCCTGCCGCCGCCGCCTCCGGGTCGCAACAGCACCTTTCTCACGGAACTGATCGGAGGTCGGGCCGCGAGGGCGGGGGACGGAGGCGGGTCATGGGCCGAGGGGGAGGGCAGGCGAGCGGCGGAAACCCTAAGGCTCAGAGAAGCATCGAGAACCGGAAGGAGACCTTCGGAGGAAGGGGATGGCAGCGGCAGCTGCGCGGTCCGGGCCCCCGCGCCCCTCCCTACCGCGGCCCCCCGGTTTCCTCACTTGGCTCTGGAGGCGGCGGGTCTCGCGAGAACCTCGTGGCAGGCTCCCCGGAGCTCCGGCTCTGCAATGACTTAAGGGCAGTTTTGTGCTCTCTTCCTGGCTGGGGCCCGCCCCCAAAGCCGCAAGTTATCGCGAGAGGCGCCGGTACACCCCCCCCCTCCCCGAGGTTCTCGCTGGGCGGGCCTTGGGCCCCAAGCACCGCCCCCGGGTGCTTAGGCTGGTGGGCGGGAGAGGAAGTGGAATTCCCCAGGCCGGCGGGGCGGCCGGCGCCGGCGCGCGCTGACGCTGCCCGCCCCCTCCCGGGCGTCCAATGAGGGGCGTGCTGTGGGCGGGGCCGCGGCGTCGAGGCGGGGCGTGCTGCGGGCTTCCGGGGGCCCAGGTGATGGAGATCTCTTCCCGGGCTCCTCGGAGAGGGCTGAGCGGCGGGAGGAGGCTCCCCTCAAATTAGGAACGGTAATTTAAAGCAGATCCAGGCCGAGCGCTGCTCGCGCCGCCACGTGCGGAGTGAGTGATGTGCGAGCTAGACCCCGAGGGCCCCGTGCGAGCCGCGGCCTGGAGGGTCGTGCGTGAGCGCAGCCTTAACAATGCAGCTTAATTGTGATCGGATTGCTTAGAGCCTTACCCCCCCCACCCCCCCGACGTCAGGCAAAGTTAGGTGCGCAGCGGCAACTGGAGTGAGTGCGTGAGGATCTTTCTCCCGTTGCGGTTTCAGATTTTGAGCCCTAAAACATTAGGGAATCGGTTTGGAGTGATTTCAGTGGGTGAGATCTCCTTTAAAAAGTGTACCACTGTCGTATTTTTTGGACCGCCGTGTACAGGGGCCGTTTGTTATCTAGTGTATCCTTTGGTTTGAAAGCTAAGCCTTTAATTTTCGAAAGGCATTTAAAGGCAGAGAGGATCAACCTGCTTTAGGATTTTCTAGCATCCATGAATAACCCCACTTGAAGTGAAATCTTGCAGGACTACATGGAAATAACTTGAATTTTGAAAACCTGTTGCAGACAATAGTCCCTAATTAAATGATAAAAAGTGATGAAGGATCTAATATGTGCTCTAAGAATGAGGGTGTATATCGTGTGTATGTATACACGCACATATAGCTGCATATATAAAAAGTCACTAGAGCGATTAGTGGAATGCAGCTGCTTCAGCTAGTGTCCATAGGAATCACCTGTAGTTTAGTATAAAATGTTGATTTTGATTTAGTAGGCCTGAGTAGGAGCCCGAGCTTACACATTTACAACAAGCTCCCAAGTGATAGAGATTATTTGAACATTTCTGAGTTAGTAAAACCCTGAGTACTTCATGCTCTCCTGGCCACCTCCTACACTTCCTCCTCCCTGAAAACAACCCATTGTTCTCTTTCGGCTCACCAGTTAAAGTAGAAGCAAAGAATTAAGCATGGGGTGGAGGGAGAAACCCAGATCAAGGCTTTTGCTTACTGTTTCTTTGTATTTATGTTACTGGTCGGGTTCCACATCTTACAGGTTTGTTTCTTCACTACCTATCTAGATGATACGCCTGCCCTTTGTCAGAGTTGTCGTGTCTTAAATGTCATAATTCGAAAGGACACTGCAGGCTGTACAGGTTTTATCAGTGTTTACTCTTTTATGATAGCATACAAATAATGGGTTTCCCGGTGACTGTCCTATACACTCACATCACACTTTGTTTTTCTTAGCCTTTACACACACTGCTCCTCCTCCTTGCTAATGAACTTGATTGAATGTGAAATTTATTGAAGTAATAATATATATATAGATTATATGTACGACTGTTATGTACCAAGCACTGTCCTTATTTTTACAAATAAGCACTTTCTTACAGAGGAACCAGGGCACAGATTGCTTTTAAACCAAGGAGTCAGACCTATATGAAGTGGCAGAAGTGGGATTTGAATGCAGGTATTTAACTTCAGAGTGTTTGTAGACCAAGATGTTTTATATTTGTGTTTTAAATTGACATCTGAATCTAATTTGACTTCTTTTCCCATTTGTAGTTTCAGAAGCCAGGGTGCAGTGATTAGTGGGAAACACTGCAAACTACTGATCAGGAACTCTCAACATACAGGGAGGATAATGAAGAAGTTTCAAAGAAACCAGTTCCTGTTGCTGTAATCTAACAAGTTTCAACATAAAAGTACCCTGAACCTTTACTGCTGTGTAACAAAGCACAGCAGCCTGGGACACACTCGAGGTCAGAGTTCTTGTTTCTAAAACTATGTGGGCAGTTCAGTAAAGCTGTTTACCCTTCTCAAAATAATGTTCCACATGTAAATACACACATTTATATATACATTTTATAAAGACATTTGAAGTTAACAGTTTCAAGAGAAAGCAAACATGGTTTGAGTAAGTTTTATAGACACAGCAAGATCAGGACTGGGGATATTGCTCAGTGTGTGTCTAGCATGCATGAAGCCCTAGGTTCAGTTCCCTAGCACCTATAAACTGGTTGATAGCAGCATTCATGTAACCCAGAACTTGGGGTTGGAGCAAGGGTGGATGTGGTGGAGTTTATCCTCACCTTGTGTCAAGCTCAAGGTCTGCTTGGAATATGTAAGACTCTTAACTCAAAAGAAATAAAAACAAACAGTAGGACCTAACAGGTTAGTAAAGACCCAAGTTTTGAAATAATAAAGGAGAATGGTAGTGCCAGTCTATTAGAATTATAATGTCGCACACACTGATTGAAAACTAGGTTTGCTAACACTATAGTGTTTACCTCCAACATTATTAGTTGAAGAAATGCAAAAATTGTCATTAGTGATTAGTAAAAAATAAGATACAGTGTTTTAGCTGGGCATGGTATTGAAGGCTTATGATCCTGGCCGTGGGAGGTAGGAGTTCAAGGATCAGGAGTTCAAGGTCATGCTTAGTTACATGAGGAGTGGGATGCCAGAGGCTGGAGAGATGCGTCAGAAGTCAGGAGCACTTTTGCTCTTCCACAGGACCAGGTTCGATACAAAGCATCTTCCCTGTGGCCCACAACCATCCCTATCTCCAGTTCCAGTGGCTCTGATGCCTTTTGTAGTCCATGGGCACCAGCCTTGCACATAACATATAAACACATGGAGGTAAAACACTCCTACGCATAAATCTTTTTCAAGTTTGAGACCGGCATGTATGACATGATCCTATCTAAAAAGTGCCCTCGGGTAGTACATACACAATAAAGTATACGATTTATATTCAAAGCTTTTTGGTATATTCTGCAAATACATGATTTGGAACCCAAGTGAAACAAATATATTTCTTACATAAAAATCCGATTAATTTTGTACTTTCTGGTTTACAATATCTTTCTTACAAAGTTAAACTAATAGTTTGAGAAAATTGTGTTTTGGCGGCATGGTATCACACCCCTGTATTCTCAGCACTGAGGGTTAGAGGAAGGACAGCTCTGATTGGGGGCCTACGTGGGTTACATAATGACACTTTCAAAACAAGACTTGTGCTTTCATATTGAAAACATGACCTTAAATTGGTAGGGTTTGGGCTTTTAATGAGCCATGCACAAATCTTTGAGTTAAAAAAAGAGTGTTTTGTTTTGTTTTCTACAGAAAAAATATACACAAATGTTCATAGTAGCTATTAGTCATGATGGTCAAAAACAGACAACAGATACTTAGCAGTTGGTTTGGTGATATATCTATGGAACAAAATTACACTAAACAGAACAGAATACTGGCATCTGGTGGCACACAGGTGATTATGAATTAAGGTCAGCCTGGGCTACTGCTGAGTTCTAGGCCAGGCTAAATGAAGTATGCAGAAACGTGGGAAGAAAAACATTACAAACCAACTTAAATTATTCTTGAAGTAATCCCTGTAATCTAAAAGCAAGCAGGAAAGCTTTTTTTACTTGCTTGGTATGAAATTTTTATGAATTCATGGATGTGCACATAAAAATACTTAATATGTATTTATACTTTATCAGTATTTTAAAATACTAATTTTCCATTATAGTATTTAAGTTAGAAGGAAAGCAAACATCATTCCAAAACCTCTTCTGGGGAAAGAACATCATCCCAGCTATATGAAAAATATTTGTGATGACTAACTTTGACATGTTATGTGTCAGCTTGACCGGGTAGAGGGATTCCCAGACAGTTGGTAAAACATTCTTCCTGATGTATCTATGGAGTGTTCGTGGAAGAGATTTCTGCCCTCAATGCAAACAAGAATTTTTTTCTAACCCATTGAGATTTTGAATAAAATGAAATTGCAGAGGAAGGAAATTTGCTTCCTTGTTTCTTAAATCCATCTTCTCCAGCCTCAAGTGGATATCGATACTAGTTTTCTGACCATTCTCCACCCTCCCTTCCATGCCTTCAGACTTGGACTGAATTATTCCAGTAACTTTACTTGTTCATCATTATATAAAAGTAGCATATTTCGGGACTTTGTGGTCTCCATAATAGTGTCAGAGCCAATTCCAGTGTTTCTCTGGAAAACCCTAATTAATGCATTCCTCTTTGCTGAAGCATGACAGGGCTCTTGCTGACCACCAAATTCAGTTATTATAGTCACTTAGTTTCACAAACCTTACTTAGCTTCTTTGTGTTTGCTAGCTTGAAATAAAATCACTGTGATATTATTGTTCCTATGTTTCAAAGGCATTCTGCCTTTCAACACACATTTACGAGTACAGTTTTAAAAACAAGCCCAGGGGCTGGAGAGATGGTTCAGTACTTAAGAGCACTGGCCTCTCTTCCAGAGGGTATGGGTTCTATTCCCAGCACCCACGTTGTGGCTTACAACCATCTGTAACTCCAGGAGCTCAAATGCCCTGTTCTGACCACCACAAACACCAGAGTGCATGTAATACACAGAAAAAACAAAACAAACAAACAAACAAACAAAAACCCCACCATGAATCCACGTATAATTCAAGACTGACTTCAAACTCATATAACTAGGCTGGCCTAAAAGTTGTGATTCTTTTGCCTCCGCTTCTGGAGTGCAGAGATTACAGGGATACATTGCCCTGCCTAGCTTAGACCGAATGTTAATACAATACAGGTCTGTTGATAGAGCAATTTGTTTTCTAACCAGAGCAGTATAGGTGAGAAAGGGAGGCAGAGCTGGGAAAAGGAAAGCTCACAGGCAATAGAAACAACACCGAAAGTCTCAAGACGACCTAGTAGATTTGGGAAACAAGTACTTTGGCTATGACTGTGCCCTTGCGTGCATTATACAAGTACCACTGAGACAAGATTGAAATGTGTGACTAAATCTTGAGATCCTTTTCTTCTGGAGTAGATGGGATGGAATAATTTTTTTTTTTTAACATAAAAAGGCTTGATTGGCTTTCATTCCCCCTAAAATATCTATGATAGCCATGTGGAGGACATATCAGTGTGATGGAAGAGTCAAGAAGCCCATACCCATGCTTTTAGGCGTGTCTTTCTTAGGAGTCTCCCCCTCCACCCCCAGACAGGGTTTCTCTGTGTAACAGCCCTGGCTTTTCCAGAACTCACAGATCCACCTGCCTCTGCCTACCAAGCACTTAATCGTGCACCACTACTGCCTAGCAAGAGTACTTTCTTTTAACCCTTATGTTTACAATGTTAAATACAGGCTGAATTTGTGAGCCGCCTTCTTTAAGTTGCTTTGTACCAAAGTATTTATTAAAACAACAGAAATGAAACTTAGGTTCTAATAAGGGAAAATTAAAAGAAAAAAAGTGCTTAGTTGATAATAAAGGCGTTATCTTCCCCAGATATGCCACAGCTAGGTTATATTTTTATAGAAATGTAACTCCACATACAAATCATTATATACTTAGAGTATAGAACTTAGTAACTGACGTTTTTATAGACCAGTGAAAGTGCCACCAAATAAAGTGAGCATTTACACACGTGACTGTGTGCTTGTGTAATTATTTCTCATCTCCCTCTTCAAAGGGAAGCACTGACCTTTGTTTTTGAAGATTAGTTTGCATCTTTTTAAAATTTCTTTCATGTCTTAAAATATTTAATTTTTTGTCTATATGGGCATGTGTGTCATGGTCAAAGGACAATTTTGGGGAGTCAATTCTCTTTACCATGCTAGGCCCCAGAGATGGAGTTTAGATTGTCAGATTTGGTTGGTGGCAGTCACTTTACCTGCAGAGTCATTTGGTCAGCTCTACTTTGAATTTTCTAGAATTTTATTTAAGGTACACAGTATACCTTCTTTTCTGGCTTTTCCCACATAGTATAGTTTTGAGATTTACCTGTGATGACAAAGGCCTCCAAACTCCACTGATTTGCTGTCTATACACAACAATGAAAGCTTCAATTACTGGAGAATTCAACTTCATAAAACTTTTTGCTGCAGAATAAAGTCTCCAATATCTACTTTTGCTTCTCAATTCTAAGTTCCCTAAGGTTGAGAAACTCAAGTCTTACTAAATAAGAGGAAATGCTAAGCCATTTCTAGGAATTCAAGTAAAAGCATAAGATTTTTATTTAAGGTACACCTAGAAAGGATGTTATTCATAACCTTGTTCTGGGTGTGAAAACAATAAACAAATATCTCTGTATAGCCAAAATTCTATAAAAATCAAAATTCTATTCATTAAAGGAAAATTAGAATGAAGCGGCAAAGCTAGGCCTGGTAATGCACAACTCTAATCCCAGCACTTGTGTGGCAGAGGAGAGAGGACCAGTAATTAAAGCCAGTTTGGGTACACAGTTTGAAGTTAGCCTGGACTTCAAGAGATCCTCTCTCAAACTAACATGGCAAGAGGCCAAAGGTACAGAGAGATTGTTCCAATCCCAAGCCTGCTTTTTAGCGGATGAAATGCTGCTACCCATTTACCATCCAACAGTCAGTGAGATACAATGGCAGCCTACACACAACCACAAGACTTAGTGTAAAAATAGAGCTAGTGTTAAGGTTGCTCCTCCATTGTAGTTTTTAGAAACATCAAGAGAAACTAAGTTTTTTAAAGAGGAACAGAAACTATCTTACATTTTGTGTCTAAATAGACATTTGAAAGAAACACATCATGCATATCTTTAAATTAAAACCTTTGGTCAGTTCATGTCTCAGAGCTAGGAAATCCAAGATCAATGGGACACATTTGCTGAAGGACCTTCTTTCTTTATCTTAACATGGTGGAAAGACCAGCAAGCACATGGAAGACCAGGAGAAAAGGCCAGAGAGTACAAATGGGCTTCTTTTGAGAACCAGCCCAC